TTCATATTTCCCAAATAAGAAGACATATATCATTTTCTGCTGAGTACTGGGCATCTAGTCCATTAGGGGACCTCACACTGAGGATTCTTAGCAATTCTCTTAGAAGTTGTTGACTGTGGGCAGTGTCTCTCCCAGATGATGGAACGAGATGCTAATTGAACAGCTTCTGCAGAAGACAATAGAACAAGATTGATTTTTTAGTTCTTCAGTATCCTTTTCCATATCCTTTGTTCTCTTGGAAATCTTACCTATTATTGTCTTTAACACCCCCTCTTTAACTGACTAAAGTTTTTTCAATATGATCTTCTGTATCAGGGCACCTGGGTGGCTCAGTTGGTTAAGCATCTGCCTTCAGCTCAGGTCATGATCCCAGGGTCCTGGGATTGAGCCCTGCATGGGGCTCCCTGCTCAGCGGGGAGTCTCCTCCCTCTCCCTCTGCTGCTCCCCCTGCTTGTGCTCTCTCACATACGACATTTTTCTGTCAAATAAATAAATAAAATCTTTAAAAAATATGATCTTCTGTATATTCCATCATTCTATTACTTTTGCCCCCCGGTGGTTTCTCTTTCTTACCTAAGGAAAAAAAAAATATGCTGCTGCATATTTCTCAGACCTTAGCTACTGCTCTGAGTTCTTTTTTCACAGATAGGTGGGCAATGCTTAATTATTTTACACAATGTGCATATTATAAAAATATTAAAATCACCTATTAAATGTTATCTATCACTAATCTAAGTAAAGTACAATATACCATTTTTTTTAAAGATTTATTTATTTATTTGAGAGAGCGAGAATGAGAGAGAGTACATGAGAGGGGGGACGGTCAGAGGGAGAAGCAGGTTCCTCGCTGAGCAGGAAGCCCGATGCGGGACTCGATCCCGGGACTCCAGGATCATGACCTGAGCCGAAGGCAATTGCTTTACCCAACTGAGCCACCCAGGCGCCCACAATATACCATTTTATTTTATTTTTATTTTTTTTAAGATTTATTTATTCGAGATAGAGAGATTTAGGGAAGGGGCAGAAGGAGAGGGATAGAGAATCTTCAAGCAGGTTCTCTGCTGAGCATGGAGCCCAATGTGGGGCTCGATCCCAGGACCCTGAGATCACGACCTGAGCCAAAATCAAGAGCTGTCGCTTAACAGACTGAGCCACCCAGTTGCCCTACAATATGCCCTTTTAAATTTATTTTTATTGGGGCGCCTGGGTGGCTCAGTCGGTCAAGCGTCTGCCTTTGAGATTTTATTTATTTATTTGACAGAGAGAGACACAACGAGAGAGGGAACACAAGCAGGGGGAGTGGGAGAGGGAGAAGCAGGCTTCCGGCAAGCAGGGAGCCCAATGCGGGGCTCAATCCCAGGACCCTGGGATCATGACCTGAACCGAAGGCAGACGCTTAACGGCTGAGCCACCCAGGTGCCCCTTATTTTTCTATTTTTAAAGTATATTTGACATATAATGTTATTATGTTAGTTGCAGGTGTACAATGTAGTGATTGAACAATTCTATACTCAATGCTCACCACAATAATATGGTGTAGTACCCATCCAACAATATTATAGTATTATTGACTGTATTATTATTGACTACATTCTCTATGTTATACTTTTCATCTGCATAACTTATTTATTTAATAACTGGAAGTTTGTACCTCTTAATTTCCTTCATCTATTTTGCCCATCCCCCCCGCCCTTCTCCCATCTGGCAAGCACCTGTTTGTTCTCTGTATTTATGTTTCTGGTTTTGTTTGTTTGTTTGTTCATTTACTTTTTTTAGATTCTACATATGAGTGAAATCATATGGTATTTGTCTTTCTCTGCCTATTTCACTTAGCATAACCCCTCTAGGTCCATCTATGTTGTTGCAAATGACAAGATCTTATCCTTTTAATGGCTGAGTAATATTCCATTGTTTATGTATATCACATCTTCTTTATCCATTCATCTATTGGTGGACACTTAGATTACTTCCATATCTTGGCTATTGTAATGCTGCCATAAACATAGGGGTGCATATATCTTTTCGAATTAGTGTTTTCATTTTCTTTGGTTAAGTGCCCAGCAGGGGAATTACTGGATTGTAGGGCAGTTCTGTTTTTAATTTTTTGAGGTACCTCCAGACTGTTTTCCACAGTGCTTGTACCAATTCACATTCCCACCAAGAGTGCAGTGAGGGTCCCATTTTTTCCACATCCTTACCAACACTTGTTATTTCTGTTGTTCTGAATTTAACTCATTGCTGGATCTGTTGCCTCCCCACCTAATCCTGCTGACAAAAAAAAATGTTATAGCTTCAAATATGTCAGAAGGTAGATTTCCTTCCACAAGTCCTTTCTGGTCTTAAGTTTTCCTCACATAATTAATTCCAAAGTTTGGTCCTATAAAATTGGACCTGAACAAAATGCTTTTGCTGAGGTCATTATATCTGTACCAGTTAAACCTAGGTTATCAGGAATGGGAATTTATGTTGGGGCTATTCTTGCTATAGACACTCTAACCTACTTACAGTAATTGTGTAATTCCGCTCAAAGAATCTGTCTACCTCAAGAGTCCAAAAATTGTACACACTTATTGTGATAAATGCTATTTATCCCTCAATTCAACCTATGCCTCACTGGGGTCCTACTTCTTATTTAGACATCAAGCTTTTACCTGCTGCCACACACTAACTTATCCTGCATATTCAGGGTAACTGTTAGAGCCTCTCAGATATTTTCAACTACCACCTCTCCAGTGGATCATGTTTTTCTGACAATGGTACCTAGAAATCTCTGAAATGAGACAAGAACAAGCTACTCAGGAAAACTCCCAGGAGGGATAACCTACTCCCTTATCATGCATACAATATGAGCTTTACCTCCCAAAGAGGGATAATACTACTGGAAAAGATGATCCAAAACTTGTCTCTAACCTCAGCAGACATCATAAATGATACAACATCTATTCAGCAGCCAACAACCAATTTAAATTTATTAACCAAGGGGAAAGTTATGCTTTCGCAAACACCTCTTGCTGCACCTACATAAATACAGGTCAAGTAGAAAAGTCTGTGACTCTGCTAAAAGAAGTCACTTGAATTTCTAAAAAAGACAACCTGGACTTTGGGACATGTTTTCATTGCCTGGATTTGATAACCTGGGCCCCCGTCTTCAGGGCCTATTACAAGAAATAATAACCAGTTTGTTTCTGGTAATTTCCTGGAATGTAGTTGGCTGATGTACCAAATTGAGACTTCAGAGTCTCAAATGCTACTATGCAACCATCATCATGCCAGACGACTCAACAACTCATGCTGTAACAAAAGGAAAAGGTGAGACTGACTATGTCTAGACTAAGTCTAACTGTGGATGTTCTCTCCACAATCTCCTAATGAGCAACATCTTGGCAATGGTGAAGAGCTGGGTAGTAGACTAAAGTCCTGAGGCTGACTCTGTCTGCCCTTGGCTAAGAAGGAGACCGGGAAAGAGAAAGCATCCTCTGACAGCCTAGAGCTGGCCTGGCACTAGCATCTAGGCTTTGGTGTTGATAGGAGCCCATATGACACAACTAGACTGTGGTTTTCTCTTGATGAACATAAACAAAACACCAACACAACAAGACAAGGCCCCCACTGTGATGGATCAAGACAAAAACAAGACCATTCTATCATGACTGAACACAGACCAAAACAAGAATATTATCCAAACAGAAATGACCAAATATCCCCGTCCTGGCTAATATGATAATTATGCTCCTTTATCAATTATAGCTTTAGTTTTGCTCCTTTCTTCCCACCTTTTAGATAAAAATTTTTAAGGGGCGCCTGGGTGGCTCAGTTGGTTAAGCGTCTGCCTTCGGCTCAGGTCATGATCTCAGGGTCCTGGGATCGAGCCCCGCATTGGGCTCCCTGCTCCGTGGGAAGCCTCCTTCTCCCTCTCCCACTCCCCCTGCTTGTGTTCCCTCTCTTGCTATGTCTCTCTCTGTCAAATAAATAAATAAAATCTTTAAAAAAAATTTTTTTTAAGATATCCATGGGCGCCTGGGTGGCTCAGTTGGTTAAGCATCTGCCTTCGGCTCAGGTCATGATCCCAGGGTCCTAGGATCGAGCCCCACATAGGGCTCCCTACTCAGTGGGGAGCCTGTTTCTCCCTCTCCCTCTGCCTGCTTGCTCCCCCTGTTTGTGTTCTCTCTCTCAGATAAATTAAATACATACATACATAATACATACATACATAAATAAAATAAAAAATTAAGATCTCCAATCACAGAACTATTCCCACTTCCTCATAGCATTCAAAGCACAGCAAATCCCCTTTCCTTGAGTCTTCCCCAGAAACCTAACACAAGCTCAAGTCCTATAATAAGTCATTTCTAATATCTTCTTACTGAGGTGCCCTACAATTTCCCATATTGTGTGGTCTCCCTCATTGCAATGAGTCAATAAACCCAACTTTGTTCAATTATAGGTGTATTCTTGGTTGCCTTTGACAGGAGGGCATTGTCACTGGAAATTAGCAATTGGCGTTTTTTGTTGTTGTTTTTTTTCCCCCACGGGATACTGATTTTTAAAAAGTTAACTCAAGGGGCACCTGGGTGGCTCCATTGGTTAAGCGGCTGCCTTCGGCTCAGGTCATGATCCTGGAGTCCCAGGATCAAGTCCCGCATCGGGCTCCCTGTTGGGCGGGGAGCCTGCTTCTCCCTCTGACCCCCCACCCATGCTCTCTCTCTGTCCTTCTCTCTCTCAAATAAATAAAATCTTAAAAAAAAAAAAAGTTAACTGGAGGGGCGCCTGGGTGCCTCAGTCATCAAGCACCTGCCTTTGGCTCAGGTCATGATCCCAGGGTCCTGGGATAGAGCCCTGCATCGGGCTCCCTGCTCAGCGGGAAGCCTGCTTCTCCCTCTCCCGCTCCCCCTGCTTGTGTTCCCTCTCTCTCTGTGTCTCTGTCAAAAAAATAAATAAAATCTTTTAAAAAATAAAAAAATAAGTTAATTAGTTAAAAAAATAAGTTAATCAAAACAAGTTTTAAGCAGTCTGAAATCATACAGTAGAGGTCTATGGGTTTGATTTGGCCTGAGGACTGTCAGTTTGCAACCTTTCAGTTGGATGATGTAAAGATTAGTGTTATGAATACTTAACAGCCATTAAGTACCTAAGCTGAACCAGGGATTGAACACATACTTTCACATGTACTGTTTTATTTAATGTTCTTTTCTACTTAAGTCATCAGAACTCTCTGAATTCTATTCATGCTGTGCCATTTGCAAGGTTGCCTGCTGCATGTTTGACTATAAATGAGGTCAAGTCCCTATTTTACAGGAAGATGCTGATGTATACCGGTTCCTTCCCACTGTGAGCCTGTAGCCATAGGAACTGTGATCAAGTACACAATAACACCTCCATGATCAAATCCCCGGGGAACAAAGTTCATTTTAATGAAGCTGGTCTGACTACCAGCAATCTGGGGGGCTTTCTGGGCTTTGCAGCAGTGTGCTGCCTCCTGACTTTCAGCCGGCCCTGGAGGAGGAGAAAGCAGAGCTGTCTCAGGTATGGGCTGATTGGGAGCGGGGACTGGGGCCAGGCAGGAAAAGGCTGTGGGGAAAATTCTTCCAGGCATGCTGTTCCCGAGGAGAAAGCAGGAGAAGGGCCTTGTATACCAGGTCCCACGGTCTCTGAAGGCTTTACCAGTTCTGCGAGTATATGAATCACGCCTAGAATTTAGGATTCTGCCATCACCCATAGCATTGGTTAGAATCTTTCAGGACCCTTCCAGCACTAGAATCATAGGAGCAAGGGACCCAATTCTATGACAACTTTGGCTTGTGAAAGTGGGAGGAACAGAAAAAGCTTTAGGCTAAGTGCTGGAGTTTATACCCCACTAACTCACTTCCCTTTCTGTATCCTTGCCATTTCCACATAATATGTCCTTCCCTCTATTTTCTAAAAAGTCCAGGTACCTATGGCTTCCTCTGACTGCCTAAGGAGAGTCCTGGGAATCTTAAGCCCACCCAGCCCCTGCCGTTCCCCTTTCCTCTGCTCTGTGGACCAAGGTTTCTGCCTCAGTTTCCCTGAATGTCAAAACAGTTTCCTAGGACTGGACCTAGCCCTCCCTCCTTGGCATCCCAGACTCCCCTGGCCAGTGCTGGCCCTTGGAGTCAAGACTGTCTCCCTGTGCTCATAATGTCAGGCTGAGCCTTGTTGTAAGAAACTAATTACTCGAACCCCATGCTGAATATAGCCACTACATAGAGTCTCTGACTGCCCCTAATGTACTACGTGGATCTTAACAGCCTGAATCAAGTTGCTTTGGGCACAGTCCAGTGCGCCATAGCCACATTGCTCAAGGAGTGGCTCTATGCCAGATCAGGTTCCCAGCCCAGATCTTGTCTTCTTTACCACCAGACCGTTCTGCTGACAAGACATCTCTGTGGCCAAGCTGCTCATTTTGAAAGAGATGACCAAAGAAGTAATGAGATAAAGACAGAGACAGAGAGAGGGAGAGAAAGAGAGAGATATTGGGACAGAGGCTCCTAAAAAAGATCTGTCATTTTTCAATCAATCAATCAATCACCTGAAGCATAATGGAGAGCTGCATCTCTTCTCCATCCTTGCCCAATATGCACCTTTGAGGCTTTTTTTATTATTTAGAAAAATTTTAATTATTATTGATAAGCTGATACACATGATAAAAAATTCAAACAATAACAGAGTATGCCGTAAAAATATGTTTCCCCCCCACCCTGACCTCTAATTCTCCTGTCTAGAGGCAGCCCCTATTCAGAGTTTCTCCTTTATCTTTCCAAAACATACTATGCATATATAAGCATGTGTGTATCTAATCTCCTCCTTTTTGTGAAATGCACATATTAACATACTATATGTTTTCCTACATTATACTGTTTCCACTTGAATAAGCTCCACTTGGAGCTTATTTCAGGTTTGTACATGTAGGTATGTCTCATCCTATTTAGTAGATGAATCATATTCTATTGTGACCCTACTGATGGGACAATTCTATTGGTTTTCTTTGTTTGTTTTGATATTATAAACAATGCTACAATGAATATCTTTGTAATGCATCTTGAAATACATGAATAAGTTTGTCAGATAAATTCCTAAAGGTAGAATTTCTGGGTCAAAGGTTATGTCCACCTTGATAGATATTTTCACTCTGTACTGCAGGGAGCTTAAATCAATTTAGACTCCCGTCAACACTGAGGGTGGGCCCGTTTTCCCAGACCCTCACCAATGGGGTATTTGTAGACATTCAGTCTTGGTGTGGCTTTATTAGTTTATTCATCAAAATAATCCATGTATATTATTGTCAGGTCCTGAGCTGAGCCACAAGAATGCAGAAATTAATAGGACAGGTCCTAAACCTTGCCCTAATAATCTAGACATGCAAACTACAATATTATCTGGAAAATGCAACAACAGTACAAGGTACAAAGGTATCACAAGGAAGGGAGGGGTTCATTTCATCTGTTTGAGGGAGAGTGGGGTGTGTTCACAGCTAGGGAAAACTTGGTGAAGAACCCAATATCTGAGATAAGTTTTGAAGAATTCATTTATTTAACAAACATGTGTTAAGTGTCTGTTATGTGCCAGGTGCTGCTCTGGGTTCTTAGGATATATTCGTGACAAAAAGATTCTTGTCCTCATGAAGCTTATGTCCTAGTGAGTCAATAACGAGTAGACATAATGAATAAATAAATTATATAGTATGTTGCAAGGTGATAGGCACTATGGAAAAACAAAAAGCAAAATAGCGTAAGGGGGATAAGGAGTGTCTATGGTAGAGGGGGATATGAATACTACTTTTAAGTAAGGTGGTCAGGTAGACCTTATCAAGGAGGTGATTTTTGAACAAAGACTTGACAAAAGCGAGTTAGGAAATATCTAAGGAAAAGCTTTCCAGGCAGTGACAACAGCCAGCACAAAGGCTCTCAGGTAAGTGTGGGCCTGACATATTTGAAGAGCAGCAAGGAGGCCAGTGGACTGAGGCAGGGGAAGGATAGTAGGAGAGGGGGTCAGAGAGATGATACGGGCCTTTAGGCCACTGAGACAACTTTGGTTTTTCCCCTAGGTAAAATGAGAAGTCATTGCATGGTTTTAAGCAGAGGAGTAACATGATCTTCCTTTAAAAAAATTTTTTTTGAAGATTATTCTGGATCGGGGCACCTGGATGGCTCAGTTGGTTAAGCATCCAACTCTTAATCTCAGCTCAGGTCTTGATCTCAGGGTCGTGAGTTCAAGCCCTGCATTGGGCTCCATGCTGGGTGTGGAGCCTACTTAAAAAAAAAAAAAAAAAAAAAGATTATTCTGGATGTTGTATTTAGACTGTGGGGTGGGGACAAGGGTAGAAGCAGAGGGTACAGTAAGTCAGAAATAAGGTGATGGGACCTTGGACCAACATGGTAGTAGTGGAGATGGTAAGAAGTGGTTGGATTCTGGATATGTGTTTAAGGTGGAGTCATTGAGCAGGAAGTGGCATGAGAGAGGAGGAAAGGAGTTAAAAATGACCTCAATGGTTTTGGCCTGAGCTACTGGAAAAAAAAAAAATTGAGTTACCCTCAACTGAGATAAGAAGGCTGAAGGTAAAGCAAGTTTCAGGGGGAAAGACCGAGTATTCAGTTTGGGATATGTTAAGTCTCTGAGACCTATTAGACATGCAAGTGGAGATGTCAAACAGGCAGTGAAATATATGAATGTGGAGTTTGAGAGAGAGAGGTCTAGACCAGAAATATAAATTCAACATGTAAATGATGAGTACGGATGTTTCAGGCAGATGAGGGTGGGGAGTGATCCACATGGAAGAAACAGCTTAGGCATAAATATTTGAATTAGTAACTTATGTTTGGGGAACAATAAATGCTCAGTTCTTACTGGGGTTTAAAGTACAAGGGGGTTAGAGCAGTAGAGGATGGCGCTGCAGAGGTCAGCAGGAATATGACTGCCAAGGGCCTTATGGGACAAACCAGGAAGCTTCAATTTTACCACGAAAGCAGTGGGAGATGAATGATCAGACTGGTATTTCAGCTGGGGAACAAGTCTGGAAATGGTTTCAATAGTCCAGGCAAAAGAGGTGTTGAGGGCCTGCACAAAGGCAGGGGCAGAGGGAAGAGTGGATCTGAGAAATATCTGTAGGGCAGTAAGGTTTCAGACTGATTAGATATGAGGGTTCAGGAGTCAGGAAGACTTTGCTTTCAGGAATTTGCAATCCAAAGGAGATAGACTTTCTACAAGAAAGCTAGAAGGCAGAGTGCTGGGTACTGTAATGGTGGAGTGTTGCAGAGGCATGATGAGGGTGGGTCTCCATTCTGAGAGTGGGAAAAACATTACAGAGGTTGTGCCTCTAAGGTTGGTCCTGAAGAAAGAAAGTATGTACAAGGTAGAAGTAAGTAAGTGTGTTCCCCGAAGAGAACGGTACCAGCAAAAGCATGGTGGTGTGGAATACCTGGAGTGAAAAATGGAAGGTGATGCAGGAAGGCAGGGTTGAGGCTAAGTAGTGAAGGATCTTATATGCACCAGGATTTAGAACTTACTCCCGGAGTCACAGAAGTCTTTAGCGGAGCAACGGAATCTTGAGATTGCTCTTTTAGGAAGCTAACCCGATAGGCAACGTGGGTGATGGATTGAAGGGAGGAGAAACCGGAGGCAGTGAGAAGGGTGAGGAGACAGCTGCTGTGGTCCCAATGAGAGATAAGGAGATCCTGAAGTAATCAAAGGCAGTAGGCTTGGAGAGGAAGGAAGGGATTCCAGCTTTGATGATGGATGGAATTGGGGTGGGGAGGGGGAGGGTGGAGTCAAGGCTGACTCAGAGCTTTCTTGCTTGGGAGACTGGGTGGATGATGGTGCTGTTACCTGAGATGAAGATACAGCAAGAGGTACGCCTGGGTGGCTCATTCGCTAAGTGTCTGCCTTCGGCTCAGGTCATGATCCTAGGGCTCCCTGCTCCGTGGGAAGCCTGCTTCTCCCACTCACCCTGCTTGTATTCCCTCTCTCGCTGTCTCTCTCTCTGTCAAATAAATAAATAAAATCTTAAAAAAAAAAAAATACAGCAAGAGAGTGTATACTAAGCAAAAGTAATAAGCTCAATGTTTTTTGGTTTTTGGTTTTTTTGAGATTTTATTTATTTATTTGACAGAGAGAGAGACAGCGAGAGAGGGAATACAAGCAGGGTGAGTGGGAAAGAGAGAAACAGGCTTCCCGTGGAGCAGGGAGCCCGATGAGGGGCTCAATCCCGGGACCCCGAGATCATGACCTGAGCTGAAGGCAGCCGCTTAACCAACTGAGCCACCCAGGCGCCCCAAGCTCAGTGTTTTAAAAAAAATTGTGGCAAGGGGCACCTGGGTGACTCAGTTAGTTAAGTGGCTGCCTTCGGCTCAGGTCATGATCCCAGAGTCCTGAGATCAAGTCCTGTGTAGCATCCAGCTCCTTACTCAGCGGGGAACCTGCTTCTTCCTCTGCCTGCCACCCCCCCCCCCCCAGCTTGTGCACTCTCTCCCTCTCTCTCTTTCTCTCTCTCTGGCAAATAAATAAAATCTTTAAAAAATATAAAAATTAAAAATAAAAATAAAATAAAAAACTGTGGCAAAATACATGTAGCATACAATTTACCATTTTAACCATTTTAAAGAGTACAGTTTAGTGGCATTAAGTACATTTACAATGTTGTACAATCATTACCTCTATCTAGTTCCAACGTATTTTCATCACCCCAAAGGAAACCCCAGATCCATTAAGCTGTTACTCCCTAGAGCCCTTCTGCCCAGCCCCCGGCAGCCACTTTCAGTCTCTATGGATTTGCCTATTCTGGATATTTCATAAAATTGGAATCCTACAATATGCGACCTTTTGTGTCTGGCCTCCTTTCACTGAGCATAATGTTTTCTGGGTTCATCCATGTTGTTTAGCAGGTGTCAGTACTTCATTCTTTTTTCTCCATCTTTTTTATCGTGGTAAAATATACATAAGGTTTACCATTTTAACCATCTTTAAGTGTACGGTTCAGCTATATGTTAATTAATGAATTTTTAAAAAGTATACAGTTTAGTGGCAAATGTACATTCACATTGTACAGCCATCACCACTGTTCACCTCCAGAACTTTTTTCATTTTCCCAAATTGAAACTCTGTACCCATTAAATAATAGTTCTCCAATCTCCTTTCCCCCCCAGCGCCTGGCAATCACCATTCTACTTTCTGTCTCTGTGAATTTGACTACGCTAGGAATCTCATGTAAGTGGAATCATACAGTATGTGTCTTTTTGTGTCTGGCTCATTTCACTTAGCATAATGTCTTCAGGGTGCATCCACGTTGTAGCATGTGTCAGAATTTCCTTCCTTTTAAAGGCTGAATAATATTCCATTGTGTGTGTGTATATATATGTACACCACATTTTGTTTATCCATTCATTGGTTGATAAACATTTGGGTAATTTTACCTTTTGGCTATTATGAATAGAGACACTGTGAACATTAGTGTGTAGGGTTTGTTTTTTTTTTTTTTAAAGATTTTATTTATTTATTTGAGACAGAGAGAATGAGAGAGACAGAGAGCACATGAGAGGGGGGAGGGTCAGAGGGAGAAGCAGGCTCCCTGCCGAGCAGGGAGCCCGATGCGGGACTCGATCCCGGGACTCCAGGATCATGACCTGAGCCAAAGGCAGTCGCTTAACCAACTGAGCCACCCAGGCGCCCCTAGTGTGTAGGGTTTTGTTTGAACACCTGTTTTCAACTTTGGGGGTATATGCTTTGGAGTGGAATTGCTGGGTCGTATGGTAGTTCTATGTTTAATTTATTGATTACCTGCCTCTGTGGCTTTACCATTTTACATCCCCCCTACCCATGTACAAGGGTGTACAAGGGCTCCAATTTCTCCACATCCTCACCAACATGTGTTATTTTCCTTTCTTTATTGCTATTATTATGGCCTTCCTAGTGGATGTGAAGTTATTATGTCACTGTGATTTTGATTTGCATTTCCCTAATGACTAATGATGCCCAGCACCTTTTCATGTGCTTATTGGCCATTTGTATATCTCCTTTGGCGAAATGTCTATTCAAGTCCTTTGCCCATTTTAAAAGTTGAGTTGTTTTTTGCTGTTGTTGACTGGTTAGGAGTTCTTTATATACTCTATATTAACCCCTTATCAGATACATGATCTGCAAATATTTTCTCCTGTGGGTTTTCTTTTCACTCTCTTGGTAGTATTCTTGAATACACAAAACTTACATTTTGATGAAGTCCAATTTATCTTTTTTTAAATTTTTGTTGCTTGTGCTGTTGGGTGTCACATCCAAGAAATCATTGACAAATACAGTATCTCAAAGAGTTGTCCCTGTTTTTTCCTGAGATTTTTATAGTTTTAGCACTTAAGTTTAGATCTTTGATCCATTTGAGTTAATTTTTTAAAAGATTTTATTTATTTATTTATTTATTTATTTATTTATTTATTTATTTATTTATTTATAGCACAAGCAGGGGGAGGGACAGAGGGAGAGAGAGAATATCAAGCAGACAATTTCCTCCTATTCCCTCTGCCTCCTGACTGATCCTGGTACTTCTCCATGTTGCCCTGTGTGGTGTGCTGTGCTTCTTGCTTCTAGGTTTCTCTGAGTATATAAACTTCTTCCTTCATGACATTAATTTCCATGTCTTATCATACCTGATTAAAATAAATCCTGTGTACATTTTAAAACATAATTGTACTTTAAAAAAATTATTGTATTTTTCAGTTACTAAATTTCTATTTGGTTCTTTTTTATAATTTCTATCTCTTTATTAATACTCTCTATTTGTTGAGATATTGTTCTGGTTTCCTTTAGTTCTTTGTCCACAGTTTTCTTTAGCTTATTGAGCACATTATAGACAGTTAATTTAAAGTCGTTTTCTCAGAAATCCAAAGTCTGTGCTTCCTCAGGGACAGTTTCTATTACTTTCTTTTTCCTGTGAGTGGGCCATATTTTACTGTTTGCTGTTGTTGTTTGCATGCTTTATAATTTTTTCTGAAAACTAAACATTTTGAAATTATGATGTGGAGAAGAGAGAGAGAAGGAAGAGTAAGGGGAGGGGAGGGGAAGAGGAGAGGAAAGGAAAATAAAAGAAAAAAATACTTTCTGGGTCTTTTCAGATTTGTCTCTGTGTTGGGGCACTCCTTCAGCACTTAGCCTGGCCACTCACAACTCTGCCTTCATTTAGTGCTTGTGCTGAACCTAAAGACCAGCCAGAAATGAAACCTATGGTCTTTTCATGTATTTTCTGAGCATGTATCCTGCCCTGGGAGTTTTTCAAAGCCCTATTTTCCAAAGATTCTCATTTCCCTTTTTTTTTTCCTCACTGGCCTTTGGTATACCTATTGTTTGCCTCATCTATTATCTTTTGCCCCAGGTGGCACTGGCTTGTTCATTTAGCCTTTTTTTTTTTTTTTAAGAATTTATTTATTTATTTGACAGAGAGAAACACAGTGAGAGAGGGAACACAAGCAGGGGGAGTGGGAGAGGGAGAAGCACGCTTCCGGCCAAGCAGGGAGCCCAATGCGGGGCTCGATCCCAGGACTCTGGGATCATGACCTGAGCCGAAGGCAGACTCTTAATGACTGAGCCACCCAGGCGCCCCTCATTTAGCTTTTAATGTTTTCTGGGAAGGTCTTCCATGTAGCTGCTTCTCTGCCCTGAGGGTGTTCTGAATTAGACAAAATAATTGCATCAGTCTTTCAGGGAACCCATAGCAGGTCAAAACACACAAATATAATTCCTTGGGAACAAGGTCCATTCTGTTCCCTTTGGGACCAGGTACCCACACCAGAAACAGTCATCAAGATTGTCACTGTGCCAGGAAGGGGTGGAGTAAGGTTAACATTAAAACACCACAAAGCTCTCTTACCCAGTTCCTGTTGGTTAAGAATTCACATAGTTGCTGTAAACCTCTGTCCTCCAGAGTTCTGATATGTTCATTCTGATGGGTTTTTTTCTGGGGTTTTTTGGTAGTTCTGGGGAGGATGGCCTGCTAGAGGTCTTATCCTGCCCTTTTCACTGATGTCATTCCATGAGCTCAGTTTGAACATACTAAGTGAGGTGCCTGTAAGACACCAGGAATAGACAAAGCTATGAACCCTTGAAGCCAGAGATATGTCCACACCATTATCTCCAGAACTTAGAACAGTTCATGGTGCACAGAGGACACTCAACAAATGTTTGTTGAATGAATGGAGTTTTTTTTTTTTTAAGTTTTAAAAAAGATTTATTTTAGAGAAAGAGAGAGAGTGTGTGTGCATAAGTGAAGGGAGAGGCAAAAAGGGAGGGAGAGAGAGAATCTCAAGCAGACTCCTGCTGAGCATGAAGCCCATCATGGGTCTTGATCCCAAAACCCATGAGATCATGATCTGAGTGGAAATCACCAGTTGGATGCTTAACCAACTGCACCACCCAGGTGCCCCATATGAATGGAGCTTTTAAAAAGACATTTGAGAGGTGCCAGGGTGGTGCAATTCATTGGGCGTTGGACTCTTGGTTTTGGCTCAGGTCATGATCTGGGGCTTGTGGGATTGAGCCCCATGTCAGTCTTCACGCTTGGCTAGGAGTCTGCTTGGGACTCTCTCTCCCTCTCCCTCTGCCCCTCCCCTCCACACACACACACACTGTCTCTCTAAAATAAAATAAATAGATCTTAAAAAAATAAAAATAAATAAAAACACATTTGAAAATATGGACCTTAAACTTGACTTCAGTGTATGGCCTAGAGATAGGGATTTTTGAATAATCAGCGTATAGATGATAATTGAAGCCATTGATGAAAAATAAGTTTTTTTTCAAATAACATTAGGAATAACTAAATTCCTAGGGGTTCCCCGGTTAAGTTGTTGTTGTTAAGCGGCTGCCTTTGGCTCAGGTCATGATCCCAGGGTCCTGGATCCCAGAGTTCAGCTCAGCGGGGAGCCTGCTTCTCCCTCTCCCTCTCCTGCTGCTTCCCCTAATTGTGCTCCCTCCCTGTCAAATAAATAAATAAAATTTTTT